CATTCTTAGCAAGGAAATCAGTGTTAATTTGCTATCAGTGTTAATTTGCTATAAATTGTCTTCATTGTAAGCAATGAAATCAGTGTTAATTTGCTATACATTCTCTTCATTTTTACAAAGGAAATCAGTGTTAATTTGCTACAAATTCTCCTCATTGTTAACAATGAAATCAGTGTTAATTTGCTATAAATTCTCCTCATTGTTAGCAAGGAAATCACTGTTAACTTTCTATACATTCTCTTATTTGTTAACAATGAAATCAGTATTAATTTGTTATAAATTCTCTTCATTGTTAGCAAGGAAATCAGTGTTAACTTTCTATACATTCTCTTCATCGATAACAATGAAATCAGTGTTAATTTCCTATAAATTCTCCTCATTGTTAACAATTAAATCAGTGTTAATTTCCTATAAATTCTCTTCTTTATTAGCAATGAAATCAATGTTAATTTCCTATAAATTCTCTTCATTGTTAACAATGAAATCAGTGTTAACTTCCTATAAATTCTCTTCATTGTTAACAATTAAATCAGTGTTAATTTCCTATAAATCCTTTTCATTAATTGCCAATCAATTACATCATTCCCCCCATTAATTAGCATTCTATCTCTACTGCTTCTTGATTTCTCGCTTCTCGTGCCCACAGTTGCAGCCTTTTTATTCTCTTTTTCCCAGACAGAAATGCTGAATTATCTTTATTAGTTCCTGCTTCATTTCTGCTCTCTGCAACGTGTCCTTGTGGTCCATAAATTCTGCATTCCTGGTGTCCAGTTCTCAGCAGTATTTCCCTCCCCCAGGGCTTTGGTCACCGAAGTGTGTCGAGGTTGGTTTAGCAAAACTTCACGTTTGGGTGATTTTTCCCAAAGTGTGTTCCCACAAGAGCAATTACACCGCTCATGATTAATGAAACCAATTAATTAGAAAAGTTATCAGGGTAGTTTTAGCATTTTCAACACTGCTGGAAACTCCTGGGAGGGCTGGAGGGGCTCAGTGCAGTCAGCTGAGCTTTAACCCTTGGTTTGCTCCAATCTGGGTGGGTTTTCAACCATTTCCTGTTGTTTTGTGATTAAAAAATAAGGAGAATTTTAGTTTGAAATGCTGGCATTTGAAAACATTTTTTTTAAAAAAACCAACAAAACACAGAATAAGGGGAAAATCAAGAACATGAATGTAAATCACCATTTTTTTTATCCGACCACCGAGGTGGAAAATGAAGATTTCAAGGATTTATAGAATTGTGGAACACCCTGAGCTGGGAGAGACCACAAGGATCAGCAAATTTGCAGATGACACTAAGCTGGGGGGGAGTGTCCATCAGCTGGAAGGTAGGAGGGCTCTGCAGAGGGACCTGGACAAGCTGGATCCATGGGCTGATTCCAAGGGGATGAGGTTCAACCAGGCCAAGGGCCGGGTCCTGCACTGTGGCCACAACAACCCCCGGCAGCTCCAGGCTGGGACAGAGGGGCTGGAGAGCAGCCAGGCAGGAAGGGAGCTGGGAGTGGGGATGGACAGGGAGCTGAACAGGAGCCAGAGTGTGCCCAGGTGGCCAAGAAGGCCAATGGATCCTGGCCTGGCTCAGGAACAGTGTGGCTAACAGGTCCAAGGAAGTGATTCTTGCCCTGGACTCAGCACTGGTGAGGCCACCCCTGGAGTGCTGTGTCCAGTTCTGGGCCCTGAGCTCAGGAAGGACATTGAGGGGCTGGAGCAGGTCCAGAGGAGAGCAACGAGGCTGGGGAAGGGACTGGAGCACAATTCCCGTGAGGAGAGGCTGAGGGAGCTGGGGCTGTTCAGCCTGGAGAAGAGGAGGCTCAGGGGAGACCTCCTCACTCTCTGCAACTCCCTGACAGGAGGGGGGAGCCGGGGGGGGTTGGTCTCTTCTCCCAGGCAACCATCAGCAAGACAAGAGGGCTCGGTCTGAAGCTGTGCCAGGGGAGGGTTAGGTTGGAGATTAGGAAGAATTTCTTTGCAGTGAGGGTGCTCAGCCATTGGAATGGGCTGCCCAGGGAAGTGGTGGATTCTCCATCCCTGGAGGTTTTTAAGGACAGACTGGATGTGGCATCAGTGCCATGGGCTGGGAACCACAGCGGGGTTGGATCAAGGGTTGGATTGATGATCTCGGAGGTCCCTTCCAACCCAACTGATTCCATGATCATGGAGTGCAACTCCTGGCCCTGCACAGAACACCCCAAAGATCCCAGGATGTGAGAACATGTCGGCTCTGCCCCACAGCCCTCTCCTTGGTGGGTGCCACCTTTGGGTGCCCCCCGTTACCTTCGCAGATGAGCAGGATGTTGTTGTAGCTGAAGCCGATGGGACACTCGCAGCGGAAGCTCCCGATCTGGTTGATGCAGACGCCGTTGGTGCAGATGGCCGGGATCTCACTGCACTCGTCGATATCTGCCGGTGCAGAGCCGAGACGGCCGATAAAGACACAAGGAGTCAGTTGTGTGCAGAAAAGATGTCCCAAGCCTCTCTTTATTTTCCCATCTGCCTTTTTTATACCCCTTGCTAGCAGCAAGCAGTACCCTTATTTTAGCTAAGCAAGCAACAGCGTTTTCATTGGCTGGGTTCTACGGGCAACTTGGCAAAGCTCAAGGCCTCATTGCAGTTCCCACATCCTAGGCCTACCAACTTTACAGTCTGCCTCTGTTTTCTCTGTTAGGGCTTCGTCCTGACTTCCTTATCATCAAGGATACACCCAAAAGTTTGCCCAGTTGATATCTTCATCCTGGGAGCTAATAGACCTGCTATTAACCCCTTCAGAGCCCCTCCATGAGCATCCCAGCTGGAAAATGACTTCCCAGTGCCAGCAAAATGCTGCCCTGCCATGATGGTTTGATTTAGGCCTTTCCCTGGCAACCAGTTTGAAACCAAGGAAGTACTTATGTCCCAGTATTCCATTCTATCACATAAATAAGAAGGGGAGAGGAGGTTGAGCTCTTCTTCTCTTCCAGTGGGCTTGGAGAAAGCAGCCTCCCTGCAGCATCTCCAGCTGGGGGGGTGTGGGGCCTGTTTGGGGTGTTTGGGGTAAATATATATGTATTAAATATATCTGGGGTTTTTGCCTTTTTTTTTCCTTTTTGGGGCATCTGGGGGGTTTTCTCCTACCAGGAATCCACCCCGTGGAAGGTTCCTACCAGGAATCCACCCTGTGGAAGGTTCCTACAAGGAATCCACCCCGTGGAAGGTTCCTACAAGGAATCCACCCCGTGGAAGGTTCCTACCAGGAATCCACCCCGTGGAAGGTTCCTACCAGGAATCCACCCTGTGGAAGGTTCCTACCAGGACACCCACCCTGTGGAAAGTTCCTACCAGGAATCCACCCTGCTTGCTCCAAGGGTGTCTCTGCAGTAACAGGGACACTTGGCCAGGCTCCGGGACCAGGCTGGAAACAGGGAGTCTAGGGAGGGGGTCCACTGGAATTTTGGGATGGCTATGGGGTCCCTCAGTGTGGCTGTGCCTGGCACAACCCACCAGCAGCCCTACAAGGATATCCTCTGGGAAGGGAAGGTGTGGGAAGAGAAGGTTTGGGAAGAGAAGGTGTGGGAAGTTGTGGGAAGGGAAGGAAAAGGGGAAGGGGAAGGGAAGGATTATTTACTCACCAATGGGCTTCCCCGTGTGGATGTCGATGATAAATCCAGGGGCTTGGTTCCCACACAGGATCTGGTACTCAGCTGGAACGGGAACCCCGAGGTCAGGGCTGTGCCCAGTGGGCACAGAGGGCCCAGCTCTGGCTGGATTTGGGGGTTTGCCAGGCAGGAGGGGTTCAGTACAGAGTCACAGGGTAACCCAGGCACGGTGCTCTCCCTTGTTCCCCTCCCCTTGGCAGTGGCTGTGCCTTAAAATCCACATTATCTAAGTTTTAGCCCAGCTTGTTGGCACCTTTACCTTGCCAGTACCTTGAGACAAAGTTTCTAAAACTGCTGTTGAACATCCTTTCTTCAGGAATTCAACAGACAGGGATTTTAAGGAGGAAAGGGAGTTTCTCTGCCTGTGAAAGAGCCACAACCTCTGACAAGAACCAGGCAAAGCTCTCCAGGAGCCTTGAAACCATTCCAGAAGGGATGATACTGTGCCAAAGACCAAGGAATAAGAAGATATAAGGGTCTTTGAGACCTCTGGGTTAAATTTGGGAGGTGTGTCAGGGGCGATGTTATGGGAGGGACAGTTTTGGAAGTGGGTGTAACAGCTGAGGTAATGTCCAAATGTTGCAATTAAATGACAATATAAAGCATAAAGTATTATAAAAATATTGTAATTAGATGATAGTATAAAGATCTAACTCCTATATAGCTCAGGATGCACACTAGAGAAAAGATTCCTGTGCATCCAGCATGGAATAAATGAGTGCTTTTTACTTCAAAAAAAGAGTTTTAGGGAGTTATTTTCTGGCTTTCGGGTATCAGAATCCCTGGAAAAGCGAGGGGACAGCAGGGAATGAGGTGACTTACGGCTGGCAGGGGTGGGACAGGGCTCACAGGGCTTGTTCCAGGCCTTGCCAATGTTGTAGGAGCAGCAGCACATCTTCTTGGTCATGTTGAAGGAGAGCTCGTTCTCACACGTGTCGTTGTAGTTGCGGTAGCACACGCTCTTCCTCATGTCTGCAGAGGCAGCACAGGCAGCATTCCCAGCCTGGCATGGGCACTGCCAGCCCTGGGAATGGGTTCTACCAG